GCAATAATATGTTCTGTGCTCTTCACACTTCTGATTTCAAATTAGGCATTTAACATAAGATTTTTGTAATTGTACAGGACGTTTATCTTCCCTAAATTCTACATTAAGGAAAAGTAGTTTCGATTGAAGAAATAAAAGGCACAAAAAGGAAGGGTGTGTAAGTGGTTTTTAAAAACTGGTCAGGGATGATACATAGATATTACTTCACAACTCTCATCTTTTAAGAGGTGTTATGGTGTATTCTTAATCTTTTACCCAAGCTACCACATATTTCACTGATTTTATATCTAAGTGAACTCTGGTCTCTAGCAAATTAAACATTTAAGTCAAAACAGATTTCTAAGTCTCCCAAATTCAATTAAATCAACCTCTTCCCCCAACTTAGGGCCCAGCTTCCTCTACCTTACCTGTCCACTAGCTTCCCTCCCCCTCAAGTCTTCCCCCAGCAAGGAAAAATTCTCACTCTCTTAGAAAATTAAAGAAATTGTTTGGGTCAAAGTAACAAAATATATTTAAGGTAAAACATATTGCCCTTCGCTTGTTTCCGTTCAAAGACTTCCTGTTGGAAAAAGATAACTTTCTAAAGTACTGACTTGGCCATACCTACTAAATACAAAAGATAAATCAGTTTACTGACTTAACTGTCCTCAAGCCACAAATGCCATCCCTAAAAATATAGTATTTCCAATACTCAACCAGTTTTTTTTTTTTAAATTTCCACACAAGTGCTAACAGCGGAGGCTCTAGGTCCCCAGCATAACAGTGCGTGCCTCAGAATCCAGACAATATGTTGCCTTTGTGTAGCGACATATGGCCCAAGTATCAACAGAGGAGAGCAGCCTGATCTGCCAAATAGGTCAAGGTCTAATCTGACAAACATTTAGGTAAAATGTATAACATACATGTCCAAATACTGATTCTAGCTTCCTCCTAACAGTGATTAAGATAAGGTCCAAAAGAACAGCTATGACAAAACTACAGAAGCAACACACTAATATTAAGTTGTTTCTCTCCACTTTTTTTCTTTCCCCAAATCACTCTTAATCCAACCAAAAGAAGTGGACTGTGTTTGCTTAGGTCAGCCACATAAGTGCTTTGGCTACCCTGAAAACGTACACTGATTCCAAACTTCGATTCCTAGGGTGCTTGGGTGGCTCAGTCAGTTAAGCGTCTGCCTTTGGCTCAGGTCATGATCCCATGGTCTTGGGATGGAGTCCCGCATTGAGCCTGCTTCTCCCTCTGCCTCTCCCTCTCCTCCCTGTTTGTTCTTCTCTCTCTCAAATAAATAAAATAAAATCTAAACAGAAAAACAAAAAAAATTCGACTCCAAATATATATTCCTTTCAACTTATGTTAAGTGTTCAAAGATACTAGACAAGTTATTTTTTTAAGCAGCTGGATCCAGAACCAATAAAGACACTTAAAATAATTCCTTTAGACTTACATTTGTATCATATAGAAAGGGTTACCATAACAAAGCTTTCAGCAAGTTGGCAGGTGGGCAAGTAGGGGACACCTTTAAAGAAGTAATAAAACAGACTGGTAGATTCCTCCATTTTAACAAAATTCTAGTAGTTGTGTACCTCTAAGATAAACATACCACACTGGAAGTCTCAACTTCAGACATTAGAAAATTAGGACAGCTGCAAACCCAGAAATTTTTACATGAACATTTCTTTTGGCAGCAACAATATAACCATATAGCAACTTATTTTGTGTCCTCTAATAGTTAAGAGGCAAGAATAACTCTGGAGAGATATTTCCAATACAGAGAACTTCAAAGTTCCTTAGAACACACTTAAATCTAAATATTGCCATGACATCTTTATCTCCAAACTCAAACAAAAATGGAATGCAATGGAAACTACGTTACTTATGCCTTTTAATTAACTACCAATAACGCAATTCTAATCTACCACATCACCATCTTTGGTGAACTGCTGCAGAGAGAACACAGAAAACTAACTTCAAAAGTCACCAGAATAAGTCACTCTAACACTCCAATGGAAAATAACATGTAACCAAGTATTCCATTTAACTGATGTGAAACAGGTTTAGGAAACAGTATTTCAGCATTCTGAAATCCACATTTTCTCTTTCCTACCTATAAATGCCATCAGTGTTCATGTACCAATATTTAAAACAAAAGCTCAATCAGAAAGTTCATTTGACAGCTGTTGCTATTTTAAGTTGCAAGGGAAAAAAAAGCTTTCAATATCTTACAATAAACAAATAATACTTAGTGCCCTGCCATACTAGCTACAGTAGCCTACCTCTGTAATTTGCACCTTATTTTATGTACTCCATGACAGAACATCCAAAAAATTAAAATAGTATGATCTGAAGCTTCTTTTCAAGCATGTTTACAAGAAGAATTATCTCATAAAAACCATCCACTTTTATGTGACTCTAAAACTCCATGCCCAGAAGCCAATGACTGGTTTATAAGCAAGATAATGACTAGTTCAATGGAAAAGGTATTATGACAATAAACGAAGACTGCCTCACCATGTTATGATCTGCTTGCCTAATATGTGTTTAGCTACTGTAGTCAGCAATGTCCAAATATAAATTTGAAACATTTAATGACTGGTTCTGTTCTAGATTTCAAGCTCATCTTACCTTTTTAAAACATAGTTTTAATCTAAGGCTCTCCACAAAAAAAAATCTTTTTTAGAAAATATATTCCCTAGAGTAGAGAAAAACTTCAGGAACAAATTGTTATTCAATTTTACGGTAAGTACAAAAAAAATTCCACAGTGAAATGTGCAAAATCTCAAATATTTCAACACACTTCTACCTTAACAGAAATTAAAATCAAGTAAGTTTCAAAAGTAAAAGAAAAATAAGCCTCAAACAGGTTGAGCATTATATTTTATAAATAAGAGGTCTATATTTTATGAATGGACCCATAAATATACCAAGAAAACCTTAATTTAAAAGTACTTTACCTGGTTGGTTACATTTCAATTACTGCTAAGTGGCATGAAGGCATAAGGCAGCCAATAAAACTATAAAAAATATTTTTTTAAAAAGGTAAGTTTTGTTGAATAAGTTTACTAAGTTTAATACAGTTTAATCATGACCTATCAAAACCTTATCATAGCTCACCGTATAAAATTAGCACGGCACTTGCAAACATAAGCAGAATCTAGACTTATCAAACATATGGTGAGGCCTGCCCAGCTTCTGAAAAACTAAAGGAGAATGTAGGATTAAAATGTTTTAGCTGGGTAACAAAGCCCACCGATCCTGCTCAAAAAGTTTTCAACAAAAATCTGATCAAAAAGGGCACCTCTTAAAAATTTTAAAGCACCAAGAAACTAAAACTTTTTTTTTAAAGATTTTATTGATTTATTTGACAGAGAGAGAGAGAGCGAGAGCAGGAACACAAGCAGGGGGGAGCGAGAGAGGAAGGAGCGGGGAGCCCGATGCGGGGCTCGATCCTAGGACCCTGGGACCATGACCTGAGCCGAAGGCAGACGCTTAACGACTGAGCCACCCAGCCGCCCCTAGAAACTGAAACTTTGAAATAAATTGAAATGGTGTGAATATAAGTGATTCCACGCCAGAAGCTATACAGCTAACAAGCAAATACCTAAAAGCGGGGAGAGGGATTCAACCGATCTCCAAACTACTACAAGGTACACAAAAGCACAAGCACAGGCTGGTCTACCAGCTAACTTTCCCGGCCCAGGACCAGGGAGACATCAAAGTTGACAACAGAATCAGCCATGAGCTTTCCCTGTAAACCGGACGATAACCTGAACTTCACTGTTGCTAATAGGAGAGCCTTATAATTAGAAGCAGCGACCTGACAGGTGGAAAAATAAATTCTAACAGGGCAGCAAGAGGTTGTGAAAACACAGTTCAAGGACTGAACATGTTATGACCACTCGGTAACAGGTCCAAGGTAATTTACGCACACACCCTTTAGCGCAATTCCTCAAGCCTAGATAAGATTGGGAAACAGGCTTCACTGAGAGCCACATACCATTTTAAAACAGCCGTCTCCCTCCCGACAGGAAAACAGACATTCCCATCCGAAGTCTTTCCGAGAGTTCTCCGCGAAGGGAAGCGGGCGGCCGCCACCTTAACGAGAGAAGCCGGCAACAGCCCCGCCGCGCGGCCGCCACGCCTTCCTCCCGCCGCGGCAGGGGACGCGGAGCGGCGGGTCACATTTCTCCTCCCCAACAATCAACACGCACTCACGTCTCCAGAGTTGACACCCTCTAAACGGCCGCTCGGCGACGCTGGTGACTGGGCCACAAAGCCAGGGACGCAGCCATCGGCTGGGGCGCTCAAGTTGCGTGCGTGCGCGCGCGTTTGTGTTTGCTCCCCGTAATGAAAGACAAGAGGTCTCCGTAGTTACGGCCTAGGGTTGCGGTGGGGAAAGAGGCCCCCTGTGGGACTAAACAAAACTTCGGTTGCTGGGAAGAGCCGTTGCGCAACCCTGGCAGGGGAAGGCCGGGGCCGCCCAGCCCGGCTCCAGCGCGGCTTCCCGGAGGCTGCGCCACCGCTCGCACCAGCCACGCGCGGCCCCAGCGTCCGGCGGCCTTCGGCCCCGAGCGGCCCCCGGACCCGCCACCCGGCGGGGAGCCGCGGCGGAAACGCGGAGCACCGGAGCGCAGGGGATCTGCCGGGGATGTAGGACGCGCGACGGGTGCGGGCCGCTCCGGAGGGGTTGGGCCTCGCCGGGGTCCGGCTGAGGGGCCCGGAGGCCCCGAGAATGAAGCTGGTCCCCCCCACCCTGGGGTGGGGGCGCCCCGAGCCCCTCTCCCTCCTCCCTTACCTTCCTAGAGGCCTGAGCTCTCCCCTCTTCGGGCGGCCGCGGCCCTGAGCATGTCCGGAGTGGGGTGCGGGGCCGTGCCGCGGACAGGGAGCCAGGCGCTTCAGCAGGCGGCACCACCCAGCCCGGGCTCAGCCCCTCTCCGCGGCCGCTGCCATCTTGTCCTGGCGGCTGAGAGGAAACGGCGAAACACCCTCCCCCGACCGCTGCTGCTGCTGCTGCTGCTGCTGCTTCTCTGGCTGCTGAGCGCCGGGCCCGTCTCCCTCATCTTCCTTCCCGGGGATTTGGGGTGGGGACGACAGGGCTGGGGCGAGGGGTGGCGAGAGGCCGGCCGGCCGGCCTCCGACTGCTGGGGCCTACGGGCGGCGCAGGGTGCGGGGCCCGCGGCGGCTGGGGCCCATTCCTGACGCCCCTGCCGCGAGAGGAGGAGAAGGAGACAGCCAGGAGAGGCAGCGACGCCGGGGCCCGCGGCTCGGTCTCCTCAGGCCGCCGCGCTGCCGGCAGTCGTCACGGAGGCAGCTGCCGCCGGTCGCCCCAGTCTCGGGCCCCTCCTCCGCGCCCGCCGGCCTCGGCCGCCGCCTCCGCAGCGCCACCGCCCGCCGGGCCGCGCTGCGCGCCGAGCCCGGGCGGCCCCGCTCGCCTCGGGCCGCGGCGCCTCCGCGAAGCCCCTCCCCGGGGCCCGCCCGCAGCCGCGCCCTTGTAGCTCCGAGCCCGCCTGGCGGCCGGCGTGGACCCGACCCGGAGCTCCCTCCCGCCGGCCCGCCCGCAGAAGCAGCATCCGTTAGCGCCCCCTCTGCTGTTCTGAACCTCATTCTAGGCCCACTCCGACAAAAATACACATTTAAAAAAAGATCCTAACCCCCCAAAGAAAGGATTAAAATGAGGAAGTGGGATTTTACAGGCCTTTCGAGATGCCGTAATCACAACTTCCCCTTCCACCCCTTTAGGATCTGTTTCTTGGCGACTTGTTTTTTTTGTTTGTTTGTTTGTTTTTTTAAGGGTCCAAAAATAAAGAAAGGGGAAATGCTTGGTCAAGTGAACAGTCCCAGTCTAAAATAGGTCCTTCCCGCTCCCCCATCGCAAAGAGTCAAGAGAATTGTAAAATCGGGTTAAAGAACGGGGAAAAGGCCTTTTTGCACATTTTCCAAGAGCATCTTTAAGGTCCCAAACCCCTTAATTGTGAATTATACCCACCTCTGCATTGATAACTCTCCATCAAGTTAGTTCCACTCCCAGAGACTAGTTACCTCTCTCCTGGAGACTAGGAAATCAACAGAATGGCCCATCTCAACGTAATCATAGAACTGTAGAATTTTAGAGATGAAAGAAACTTAGAGATCCTTGGTCCAAACTCAAGCTAGGACAGGGCTTCAGAGAAGCTTCTGTGACCTGCCCAAGATTATACAGCAAAGCCCTGGTCTGCACACCCTGTCCCCTTCTTTTCCCTAAGAAACCGCTGACCTTCTAGTACCTATCATTGAGAGTTAATTAATTTTTTTAATAATTATTTTCTTTTGTTCCTAATCAATGTTTAATGGGGGGAGGGGAGGACTGAACACCTTTCTCTAAGGAAGTGTCCTTTCTTTGTTCCTTTCATCATCTTCACTAGGAGGTTTGACTCTACCACATATGTATTTATCCCCAGACATTTCCTATTGCAGTAACTGGGGGAGGGCAAAGGGAGTGGCAAATTGCTGCATATTTAATACTACACATTTATTCCCTGCTGCTTTTCAAATGGAAGGGAGTATTTTTGAGAAGGCCTTTTAAAAAGAGAAGAGGATAGTACGCCCTGAAGCAGTTGGAAGTACTTTCGAATGACAGTTGTTTTCTTCAAGTTAGGGAGGATAACCAGTTGAAAAGTCTTCCAAAATAGAAAAACAAAACAATGACTGTCTCTCAGAGAGATAGCAGCATATTAGCCATTCCTTTTTACTTAGTATTTAGTTACTTTTGATTTTTTAAAAAAAACAATAGTTAAAAGAACCAAAAAAGGATAAAAACACTATTCACAGGAGAAAGTTACAATTAAAAAAAAAATCTTAGTGAAACAAGGGAACTATTCCACTAGAACTTCGAATTTCCAGAACTTTGGCTAGATATTTCTCTAGATCACTTTTAATAAGAGGCTTCAATTCTCCCTATTTTGTGGCATTACTACATTTATGGAAAAGCTGAAAAGGAGGAGGATTTTTTTTTTCCTTTATATCCCTGACATTGCTCTCCACTGTACTGTAAGTTCCAGAAGGGGATTCTGTCTTCTTTTTTTTTTTTAAACAATTGCATTGCCAGTGCTTACAGTGCCTGATTTATAGTTGTTTTTAGTAAATGTTGCTACAGAAGTCAATAAACACTATTAATTCAAGTCCTCCTTCACTTTATACCTGTTGTCTCTTAGCTTAATCTCTTTACTTGCAATCTCTTATCTCTCCAATTCATTCGGAACACCAACATCCAGATAGCTTCTCAAAGCCCCTGACTTAGCCATTTTATGAAGTTTGTAAGAAAAAAAAATGGAAAACTTCCAGTGTTCTTGTTAAAAATGAAGACTACTAAATTGTATATGAAAGAGTTAATTGTGTGTAAAAAGATGGTAACCAAAAAACTCAAAATCTTTTCATTCAAGGGACGCCTGGGTGACTCAGTGGGTTAAGCTTCTGCCTTCAGCTCAGGTCATGACCCCAGGGTCCTGGGATGGAGCCCTGCCTCTGGGTCCCTGTTCAGTGGGGAGTCTGATTCTCCCACTCACTCTCCCTCTGCCCATCCCCCCTCGTGCGTGCTCTCTCTCTCTCTCAAATAAATAAAATCTTTAGAAAAAAATCTTTTCATTCGGAATTACTACTTAAATACTGTGTACCAGACATTGGACTATAATCTGAGGATACAAGGAAAAGGGAGACACCCTATGAGTTTACACTCTCTCTAGAAAGTTGGTTATTATACAAATAACTAATTATAATATTAATAAGCATTATAAAAAAAGAGCCCAGCCTGCAATGAGAAGGTAGACCCTAATCAAATGAGATGGTGGGGAAGCCATAAAAAACCTCATTCATTTCTCACTCTCCAGGACTTAACTAAGGGCTTACTTCCTCAGAAAGAACCTCCTGACTTCTGTAATCCACATCCCCATATATCCTTCATGGGTAGCATTTTTCTCAGTTTCTCTTTCCTCAGTTGTTTGTTTTCTGTTGTTTGATTGATGCCTACCTCTACTACCAATCTGAAAGCTCTACAAATGTAGAAAGCACATCTTTTTGGACACCATTGTATCCCCAACTCCAAGAAAGTGGTACGTAGCAGCTGATCAACAGGACCAGCTACATTCAGGGCCCCCTGAAAAATGAAAAGGTGGGGTGCCTTGTTCAAAATCATGAAGGATTTCAAGATGGTAACAGTAGAGGATTGAACCCATCATGGGGGCCCTTGAAGCATGGGACTGTGTGCAACTACACTACACAGGTTGAATGAGTAAATGAAAGTTGAGATCTGAGGGGCACCTGGGTGGCTCAGTCGTTGAGCATCTCCCTTCAGCTCGGGTCATGATCCCAGTGTCCTGGGTTCGAGCCCCACATCAGGCTCCCTGCTCAGTGGGGAGCCTGTTTCTACCTCTCCCACTCCCCCTGCTTGTGTTCCCTCTCTTGCTGTGTCTCTCTGTCAAATAAAATCTCAAAAAAAAAAAAAAAGTTGAGATAAAGGTGTGTGGAAAGTAGCCCACGCAGAGAACACTTGAGACAAAAGAAAAGATACATGCAAAAGCCATGTAGAAAAAGGCAATAGAGAGTAGAAATTTTGAGAAAGTGAAAGTTTTTAGTCAGAGTGAGAGGATAAATCCAAGCAGATGAAGGTAGAGGAAGAAGCAAAGGCCAGATTAGGATTTACAACCTTATTCTACCTGCAACGGAAGCTACTGAAAGATTTAAGGAGGGACACGACATGATCAAAAAAGCCACTGGCTTTGGGTATGGGAGCTATCTATTTTCTTCTTTGCACTTTTCTGTATTGTTTAAGCATTCCTTCCAATAACTTCCAATTTCATTCAGAATAAAAACTAAAAACCTGACAACAGACCTAAAATGGTCTATAAGATCTTGCATAGAACTGGTCCACAAGGAACATGCCTCCTGCTTTTTGTGTCCTTACTGTATACTCAAGGACTTCAGTCACTCTTCCTCCTCAGGTCCTTACCCAAATGTCTCCTCAGTGATAACCACCTATACATACACATAAATGCCCTCGGTTTTTATTTTTGTTTTTTAAGTTTGTTTGCTTATTTATTTATTTATTTATTTATTTTCTCTACATCCAATGCGGGTCTCAAATTCATGACTCTGAGATCAAGAGTCACATGCTCTTCTGACTGAGCCAGCCAGGTGCCCCAAACTCCCTGTTTTTATTTTTATCCTTAGGACTTACCACCATCAAAGGTACTATGGTATAAATTTTTCGGTCCCCTCTTCCCCACAAAGGTAAGCTCCCTGGCAGCAGAATTTTTGGTCTGTTCTGTTGGCTGCTCTATCCCCAAAGGGTAGATCATGCCTGGTATACAAAGGAACTCAATAAATACCTTGAACAACTCCAGGGTTAGGAGTGTGGACCCCCCACTCACTGCAGTCAAAAATCTGCATATAACTTTTAACTCCCCAAAAACTTAACTACTAATAGCCTACTGTTGACCAGAAGCCTTAATGATAACATATATACATTGATATACAATATTAGTTTCAGGTGTACCACATAATGATTCAACATTTATATACATTGCTAAGTGGTAAATCTAGCTACCATCTGTCACCATATAAAGTTCTTACACCATTATTAACTATATTCCCTGTGTTGCACATTGTATCCTGGTGTCTTAGTCCATCCATCTTGTTTGGATCTTTACAGGTCCCTGCTGGGCCCCTGGGTAGCTCAGTTGGTTAAGCGACTGCCTTCAGCTCAGGTCGTGATCCCGGAATCCTGGGATCGGGTCCCACATCAGGCTCCCGGCTCAGCGGGGAGGCTGATTCTCCCTCTGACCCTCTCCCCTCTCATGCTGTTTCTCTCTCTCTCAAATAAATAAATAAAATCTTAAAAAAAAAAAGTTTTATCTTTACAGGTCCCTGCTCACAAACCTTCAGACTGTTTCAGTTACTAAAAATGTTCATATTTCTTAGTTTGGCTATTGAGGCACATTATAGTTGGACTCCATAAAACCTTTGTAGCCATTTTCCTATAGGCTTTATGACCCCACAAAAATGTGCTTTTCTCTCTTGCCAATGATACCTTTTATTTCTCCATGCTTGTAACATTTCTGTCATTAATAGTGCCTTCTCTTATTGAGATCCCACTTGTCCTTCAAAGTAAGACAAATGTTCCCTCCTCCAAAAAGCTTTGAGTGAACATACCATTCCGAAGTGATATTCATGCATCCCACAAATACTTTTTAGGTCCTACCATATGCCACACACTGTTCTGAATGTTTTTATTTAATAACTCAAGGATAACTGTTACTATTCTCATTTTATAGGTGAAGGAACTGAAGCACAGAGATTAAGAAACTTGTCCAAGGTTACACAGTAAATAATGGAGCTGGATTTGTGCCCAAGCTGTATGACCTTAAGCATCTACCCCAAATCAAAGATTTTCATGAAATGCATTCTTGAAATTTTTTTTTACAATTTTTTATTATTATTAACATAAACTGCGGGGCACCTGGGTGGCTCAGTCGTTAGGTGTCTGCCTTTGGCTCAGGTCATGATCCCAGGGTCCTGGGATTGAGCCCCGCATAGGGCTCCCTGCTCCGCGGGAAGCCTGCTTCTCCCTCTCC